TTAAAGGCAAGATATGTAAAGCAATTATTAAGCCAATATAAAATCCCGCAAAAATTGTCAACCATCATTTTCCAGACAAAAAGCAGCTAAGGTAAAATATCTACCAAATCACTAATGCATAAGATTTGATATGCCCAAATTGGTCAATATCTCTCCTCGCAGTTTTAGAAATAGGGATTAATGGTTGCCTCAAAATTCTACAAGACTTTTCTGCGAGTTTAATTGGGTAACCCTTAACTCCTATAATGTTAAGAGTCTCATTTCTTAAATATGAGGCTAAGAATACAGTTCTCATGCCAATTTATGTTCATAGTGGCAAGAAAATAAGATAATTTAGAAACCCCCAAATTTGAGGAAAATGGGACAAGACTGAGATTTGAGTTTAGCTCATCTTGGACATTATGAACATATTAATTTTGGTATTGAGAGTTCAAACATGTAATGAGAGGCAACTACATGTAAACAAGCAATAGGGATTTAGAAAAGTAATATGGCAAATGTAAACCTGCCTTTTGAGTCCAGGAGGAGAGAGAGACATTATAGCATACTGATGAACACAAAAGAATGAATGAACAGATATAGTGAGTGAATAACCCAGTAGGGAGGGAAGAGGAGGAACAGGGAACACAGAAAACTGAAAAAGCAGATAGTGCTTAAATTGTCTCTCAAAAATCAGTAGACTTTGCCAGCAAGACAAGAAAAGGAAAAGCATTCTAAGTGGCAGGGAGAACATATGCAAAGACTCTGAATCAGGAAACAGTATGGCTCATTTAGTAAACTGTTCATATTACTATGATTGGAGCTTGACAATGGGCAGGAGATGCAGCCTGATGATGAAAGGCCTTGTAATGATAGTTAGGACTAAAAAAAAAAATGGGTTTTAAGAAAAAAGCAATGAACACGTTTGCATTTTAGAAAAATCACCTTGGCAATAGTGTAAGGAATCACTGTTATAACACTATTATACTATATGATAACTATTATAGTAGTGTTAGGAATCACCTGGCAATCACTAGAAACCTCATTCTACATCCAGAATTAAATAAGGACATAAAATTATGATATAGATACTCTGTTACAGAACCAGAGATCAGAAATAAGAATAATAATGATTTAACATATAAAGCTAAATTATCCAAAGGAAATAATTTACCCTCATGAATGTATATTCTGGAATTAAATAATTCCCATATATCTTAAAAAAGAAGAGGCTTCTAAAATTAGGTATGATATATTAAAAACTTGTATATCATGTGTTGTATCCTGAGAACTAGATAATTTTATGGTATCTATCCCTTTTCGTATAAATAACACTGCAGATGTGCAAAATAAAAACCAATGCAGTACAGTCCTTAGAATTGGAGCTTATATTGATTATTGACAGGCCTCTCTTGTTTTAATTTTATATGTATATGGAAATAAGGCCCTGAGAGACTAAGGAATTATCCAAGGTCACACTGTAGCACAGTGAAGACTGCAATTCAAGTCTTAGGATTTCCTTTCTAGAAATTGCTTTAATTTATCACATTTATGATTCTAGAATTTTGAATGATAATTCAAAAGACACTTTGATACTGTCATTTTCAGCATGTAATGAATGAAACTGTAATAATGAAACTACAGAACTATTTTTATGGTTCATATATCTCACAAGAAAAACATACCTGCTAGATGTGCATATGATTGACAAAAAGAAATCTCTTCCTAAATTCTGTGCCACAATAAGGACACCTACTCCCCTACCACAAAACATACTCTATTCTCTAGGGAGCATAAAAACTTCCTTTCTAAAACTCAGGAAACAATTTAAAAAGAAAGAATACCTAAGATTAATTTATCTCTATATAATTAAATATTTAACATCTTTACCATGTTTTAACATTTCACTTAAGTCTTCATCTTTTATTTTGTTATGCTCTCCCCATCTCACCCCCTACAATTTTTAGATATACCTTTTTCCCTTCAATAGTATACACAGGTGGAAGTAGCAACATTGACAAGAGCTTTATAAAAACTGTACCTTTCACAAATTTGCATAGTGACCAAAATGTCAATTTTTGGACTTCTCTAATTTGCACTGAAATAATGTCTGTTTTATTGAAACAGATTCAAGTAATATAAAAGTAAAAAGTTAAATAGCTCTCTTCCATGCCTCTGCAACTCCCTCTTGAAGAATATTCTTTTTTTTTTTGTCTTTTGTCTTTTTCCGTGTTCGGCAACGGATCGCAACCCTCAGTGTTGCCCCCATACCGGACTGAGAAAGTATTTTTCCTTTATCGTATAACTTCGTATAATGTATGCTATACGAAGTTATTACGAGCGGGAACCGGTCTGTATGTGGGATCCGAACCCTCGGGCGGGAGCGCCGCCGCACTTCCCAAGCGGCGCACTATCCAGTGCGCCACCGGGCCGGCCCTTGAAGAATGTTCTAAACACAGATAAGTTTGATGTGTACCCTTACAGACTTTTTGATGCTTACATAACACAAGAGTCAATATATATTTAATCCTCAGAGTCAATATATATTTAATATCCAAACTCTACTCATAATTTAATCTTTCTTTAATAATTCAGAAGGTAGATCACTATCTTGCTTAATTTCTTGTTATCAGGACAGACATCGATTATATTTTCACTCAGAGGTTAATTTTTTAAAAAAGAGCTGAATCTCAAGTACCCTGTGTATTTTTTCCTTAGCAGCATCACAATTTTATAAAATGCACCTATTTTATTTACTTCTTGTCTTCCACTCCCTATTAATGTAGAGAAAGAATCACAGGAGAGCTGGAATCACTGTGCCACTGGTGCTGAGACCCACAGCAGATAATCAAATATTTGTTGACTGATCAGTCTATGTACTTAGGAATCATGAAAGCTGCTTTTTTTTTTCTTTTAGGTTTTTGAAACCTGCTTAATTCATCATTTGTCTTTCTTTAAAAAATAATCAGGAAAAAAAGTCTGCTTAGGATTTTTTGAGCTGTCATTCCAGCCAAATATCTGCTCATCTATTTAGTTTTGATAGCTGTAAAAGCCAATCAGGTATTTTGGTTTGAATATCAATAACAACAAAACACTTAATTTAAGCCTCTCCAAAGAGTTAAAAATTGCTACGCAGGATTCCCTTGTTTTTTAAAATGATTGTAAAATTCAGAAATTAAGTACACTATCCCTAATCTTTCTAGTTCTAACACCAGAAGAAATGTCATTTTAAAAAAAACTGTCACTAAGAAAATGTGTGAGGCAGGCAAAATTCTTTGCTTTGGCATACTCAAATTTGTCTGCTCACCTTAGATCACAGATTTACAGAATTACTATGAGTACGGGCCCCACTGCCTGCCACACTAGACTTCATTTACAGGCCTCTGTGACACAGTGGATAGTATCTAACCAGAATTGTCTAGAAAACGCACAGACTTTCTGAACTATACATTTTTAAAAAACCACATCAGACATACAGGTCATTTTACTTAAATTCCACCTAAGTCTGGGCTAGTTACTAAGTACTCTGGATAAGATCCAAAACTAACTACACCTTTGCAGTAAAACTGTTAAGCAGGATTCTCTAAAAACAGCTCCAATAGCCATCCTTACAGGTTGCAAAGGACGCTTCTGCAGAGATCTAGGTTTGAGACTTCAAATTCCAATATGTTTTTTGGAGGCTGAACTTGAAGTTATCCCTCTCCACAAATGCTTTTCAAAGTTCAGAGAGAAGCTACAATACAATTCCACGCACTCCTTTACTGCCTAACACTCAGGCAAGACTTCAGGACAGATCTAGTAATGCAGGATCAGCAAAGCAGACCACCTAGTAAGATAATCCAAAACCCACAGCCTTTCCCCACCCTCAGCAGCTTCCAGTTGCTCAGGAGCTGTATCCACACTCAACCTGGGGACATTCGCCTCCTCCAAGAAGCTACAGACCACATGCCCACCTAAGACGCTGCCAATCTCTAGCTCCCAGAGCTCCGGCGAGACCAGTGCGCCCCCACAGGGATCCCGGGGCAGAGAAAAGAAAACTGCAGAACAAATCCACTCTTCCTCCAACTAGGCAACAACGCGGATCAATCTTCCAACTAAGCATTGGGTAAATCTCATCCAGAGAGAAAGAGACCCGACCCAAAACGTTCCAGAATGCTGACCAGCCACAGACGGTCTATTAGGTCGGCTCATGATGCCACTAAACACTAAACTCCCCTCACGCAGACCCAGCGCCCGCCGAGCCGCGCCCACCCCGCGAAATCACCCGGTGACCCGCTAACTCGCCCCGTCGCCCCCGAAAAGGCTGGAGACGATGCCAAGTTACCGCCCCTCTCTGGGCAAAGCATAAGCCCCAGTATAGACGCTGGTCTCCGCCTTCCACCCTCTCACCCCCAACAACCCACCAAGGCGGCCCCGGGCCCCGCAGAACAGATAGATCGCCCTCCCTCACCCGGAGGCACCGATAAACACACCCGTCTTCCCTGAACCCTCTACACGGCTTCTTCATCCCAGAAATGAGAAACAGACGGCCACTCCCGCTCAAACGACTCCGAAGACCCCAATGATCTGCCCCCACAGAAACCCAGGACCTTGCTAAAATAAACTGCATCCTCTGACTCCATCTAGAGCCCGGGACCCAGATAAACGGACCCCTTGTCCTGGAACCCCGCTACACCACGTCAAGGAACCTCAGGACACTGATAAATCACCCTCGACCCTGAAGAGCCGGGACACTCTATGCGGCCACCCACCCCATCCCAAGCCGGAAAAGCCCCAGGACCCCCGATAAACCGCCCCCTCACCCGGAGGAGCCCTGACACCCCCTACACCGCTCTTCGGCGCCCGCACTCGGATCCCACAGCACCGCCTCCTCGCCCCCCGCACTCCCGAACCCCGCCAAGCCTCACGCCCACCAGGGAGCGCCGCGCAGCCCCCGGAGCCACCCCCGTCGCGAGCCCGCCTGCTCTGTGTCCCCGCTCCCCGACCGCTCCTCAGCAGAGACGCGCTCCGGGCTTCCTTACCTGATCAGCGTCGGAGGGCGTGCGGAGGGGGAGCCCTGAGGAAGAGAAGGCGGCGGCAGAGAAGGGGCGGCCCAGGCCTGCGGTGCTGCAGCTCCAACCTCTCCGCGAGGAAGCGTTTGTGTGAGGAGATCCCTCCCGCTCCGCGCGCAGCCGGGAGACCGAGAAACCACCGTGCCCGATGCTCTTCCCGCGAGATCCCAGCCACGGCGGGGGGCGGGGCCACGGCGAGGGGCGGCAGCTGCGGCTCCTCAAGTGACAGCCCTAGTAGCCTGTCGGCGGCAGCGCAGGAGGCGGGACTCGGAGCCTACTACGACCAATTGTAAAATAGGAAAGGTGATTCACCCCGCCCCTTCCCCGCTCCTTATTAAACTGTGGACAAAGATAGTGGAGTAGTGACTGAAGTAGTCGGAGGCAACGGGGCGTTCGCTGCAAGGTAGCTTAGGTGACGTGGCTTGGCTTGTGTCTGGTCCCACTCGGACTCCATAGATACACCTGTTTGAGGAAGAGGCCGGTCTTCACCCCGGTGTAAACCGAGGTGCTGTTACCCTTGGTTGCGGCGCGGCCTGAAGTGTGCTGGTTTTCATCTTCCAGGTTGAAGGCGCGCCCTCCTTGGGTTACCCGCGTCTAAGCATCCGTTTACTTCAGACCCCCCGTACCCTCCAGTTTTGGCCTCTCTTCCCTCCCCACCACAAACAGGGCGTCATTGTTAAGATGCCCATGTTTTCCAAGCCCCAACCCGGGACATCTGATCTGACAAAGGACTCTATTCTGATCTGTGCATTTATTTCTACTTAAAGCCTTCCAGAAAAGTAGAGAGTAAATCTCACTTGAGTCACCAACATAACAAATTCCAAAAGTACAAGAAAAGTATCTTTGTAGACCCCGGTGCCCAGTAGTGTTTGGCACACGGAGGACGTTGAATAAATGTGAAAGGAGTCATTGAAGACCGTGATATTTAAATATATGGAATCTGGACCTGCCCCAGAAAATTCGGCATTCCTAGCCTTTCCTCTATGACAGCCAATCTCTTCACACTTAAATCTAGTCTCTTCATTATTATGCCTATCCTGCAAACTTCATTCATCTTCTTCTCACTGCTTTACCCACAGCAAGTAGCGCCCTTTCTCCTCATCAAGGTTAACCCCTGCACCTGTGCACTGGACCTCAGCCATTCCCAGATTTTGTTTAATCAGCTATCCTTTCTTTCCTCATTATCAATTTCTCTCTCTAATTTAACTCCTTTCTCCCACAAACACATTCAGTCTCTCCCATTCTTTGAACAGAATGAAACCACCCTACCTCTTCCACTGCTCAAACTATCCTACCTCCTCTTTCTTGAGAAACATTAAAGTATGTTTGCTGTCTCCACTTCCTCATTTCTTATTTTTCTCACTGCAATGTTGCTTTTGCTCACACAATCTGCTGCTCTATCGATGGTTACAAAAGTCCTCTTTTCTAATGGACAAATGATCTATTTGGGGTTATTTTTCCCAATGACCTCTCCAGCCTATTGACAATAATGACCATCTCCTCCTTTAGTTCCTTCCTAACTACATTCTCCTGATTCTCTAGCTACTCTTCTGACTTTTTTTGGTCCCCTTTCCTGTTTTGAAACTACTTCATATTGATGTCTTATAGCCACACCTTGTGCATGGTAAGAAAAATGGTCACACATGGTTGCACAGTTTGAATGCCAAAAAGTGGCTCGGACAAAAACTGTTAGAAGAGTCCAGAATGAGGAGACATGGCTGTGAGGCTCGAGCTGGGTTGTAAAACAGTAGGTTGGCCCATGTAAATGCAGGGTGGAAGCAGAGGCCTTTCAGAGCCGAAAAATAATGTGAACCTGAACACAGAGAAAAGGATGCAGGCTGAGCCTGGCTGTGGGTTGACCATTTTGATAGATAGAAGATTCCTGCAGAAGAGTAGTGGGAAGTAAGATTAGAGAAGAATGAAATAGTAAAAGGCTTTAAAAACCAGGCCAAGCTGATTCGATTTGATTCTGTATTAAGTAGGCAGCCAGGACCAACCCTAACATTCTTAGGGCCTGTGAGAAGGCTGCACATGCAGGCCCACATATCAAATGTCTAAATATGTAAAAATTATAAAACAAGGTAACAGACTGTGAAGTTAAAAAAATATTCTATCCTTTCACCTTGACAAATATATTTTCGTAATAACTTGGGAGACCAGGTTTGAATTTAGAATTGTAGGACTTCTCAGAGTTCCCTGCTGGAATGAGGCAGGTCAGGGAGTCCTAGTCCCCACACAGAGCAACCTTTCCCCCTTTGCTTCCCATAGCCAGTTCAGCCCCATACTACACGTACCCACTCTGCCATTCCATGGACACTCTAGCCCATGTGTCCAAGCTCCATTCCCACTTTTCTCCCTCCAAAACAGTCATTTCCTGGCCACTACACAGGTCCAGTAGTGCGTATTTCAGTATCCGGGGGAGAAGCCCACACAGGCCCTGGAAGTGGGCTCAGGGCCATTTGGACAGACAACTCTGGCTCCTGGGTAGCTGGAATGAGATCTGAAGGGGTAAAGTCAGCTCTGGGCACATTCCTTGACTTCATGGGCTCCATGCTAAGTATGTAGCAGTGTAGCTGCAGAAGGGTCAGACCTGAGTCCTGCAAAGGCAGGCCCCTCCTGCCTGCATCTAAAGGTGGTACAGCAGAGCCGCTGAATTTCCTAGTAGAGTACTGACATGTAGAGTCAATCTATAATTTAGAGTACAAATCTATGTTTTTAATGCTTACTACTGCCTCTGTTCTCACACTGGTGTATTAATGGCAGGAATGTACTGGAAATAAAACTCTATTCTTCACTCTACTCAATGTGGCATTTTCTCTCCAATACCATTTTATAAATTATATCATTCCTTGATTCCCTTATTAAATAGTGTATCAAAACACCAGTGTCTCTAAATGTGAGAAAATAGAAAAGCTATGAAGTGCTGTCAGCCTGGAATAAAACAGAACACTTACGTTTGACTTCTAAATAAAAAGGTAGATGTTCTTGAAGAGGCCCCAGTTGAAGGGTACAAAAAAAACTGTACTGAAAAGGCAGTAATCCGCCACAGATGGGGGCACCCTTCTCACCATCTGTCTTTATGGCATGATGCTTCGCTCTGTGGCCTGACAGTCACGCTCTGTTCCCGTAGCCTCTCCATCTGCTACCAAGTGCTCCATTCCTCTTGTTGTGCACTTAGAGCCACCAATGGGCCAGAACCACCACGGTCTCTGTTTTAGAAATCCAAGCATAGAATTCTGCCTGTGGATCCTGCACATTTCTCAGTGGGGCTGTGGATGATTTTAATGTGAGGTGTTGGCACTTGCTTGATCCCAGAACTAGGATCTACTCATAGCCTCACTGTTACCATCTGTGACTGGTCTTTGCCAACCAGCAGCAGAACAGAACCAGCTAGCTTCTTAGTCAGGTCTTACCATCTGCTGCCTATATTCTGACCTATTAGTCTAGGTGAACACAACCAACAAGTTCTGTCCCTGTTCAGAAGCCTTACTGGCATCCCATTCTCTGAGCATACGCTGGAAAAAGCTACCTCCTGGCCCCTGCATATCCATGGTGGGCACAGAAGGTAGTATTGTTTGAAAAGCTGGAAGAAGAAATCTGGGTCTCTCAGACTTGACTTACACTCCATTTTTTAGAGTTTTAGGGGAGTACCATTTGGTTAGGTCAGAAGGCTGAAATTCTGTATGATTACCCCAAGATTGAGGGTGCAGTATTCATCTGTTCATTTGCTGATGCCAGACTAAACCCCTGACTTCGTTTTGTTTTTTTACAGATAGCCAGTTACAAAGGGGGGATCTCAAGAGAACTGTGGTGGTTTTAAAATATATCCAAAAGTTATTTGCTAGACATCTTCTCAAGAAGTAGAACTTAATTCCCCTCCCCCTGAGTATGGGCTAGACCTAGTGACTCACTTCTAGCAAATAGAATATGGCACAAGTGACAGTGTGTGACTTCTGAAACTAGGTTACAAGAGGCATTGTGACTTCTTCTTGGACTCTCTTTGGTCACTCACTCTGGAGGAATCCAGTTGCCATGCCAAAAGGACATTCAAGCAGAGGTCCACATGGCAAGAAACTTAGGCCTCCAGTCAACACCCCTGTGAGTGAGCCATCTTGGAAACCCCAGATAAGCTTTCAGATACTACAGCCTTAGTCTAATACCTTAACATAACCTCATGAGAGACCCTGACTTGGAAACATCAAGCTAAGTCTCTCCCAGATTCCACGCAGAAACTGTGTGAGATAATTCATGTCTATTGTTTGAAGCCACTTCATTTCAGGATTGTTTGTTATGCAGCAATAGATAGCTAACACAAGGGTGTTGAGAGTAGTTCAGTCTACTCCACTCCTGGACGAAAATCTAAAAACTCACAGCCTGCTAGTCATCAGGCACTAACATTACCTAAATGCATTTGTAGCCATAACTTGCTACGGCCAAAGTTCAAGTGGCACCGCACCAAGAGAAAGTCAAAGAAACTATTTCTTCATGGAAGCAAAGATTCCAGTGCCTTCAGATTCTTAAGAGCATCACAGCAATTGGAGATAACCACAACTGTAGAGCCATTTGGAGGCAGCTAATAGTAGGTCTTGAGCAGTAGGGAAACCTTTTCATCCCCAAAGCTTAGAGTGCTTCACAAACATACTACTTTCATCCAATTTTGTGGGAAAGTATGTTTCCATGAAAATGGGGAGGGGACCTGAAACATCTGCTTACCCATCCATATTAGCTAAGATTAAAAAGTTGAAAATTCCATCTATTGGGGCCCTTTCAAAATAAAACTGACATCCTGATAACATTAAGTGCCCATGTGAGAGCAGGCTGTGTTTGACAGCAAGAACATTGAAATTATTTCTGAATATAATTCTATATTTCTGCAGTCTTAACATTGTGAATTAAGATTCAGCAAGAGTGACTTCTCCATTAAACAGAAAAAGAGGAAAATCCACAGAAATGAGAGACCAGTTAGCTGAGTTGTGTACACTGCCTGTTTAACTTCATTTTACATATGTAAGAGTCATATAGATGGGC